GGCAGAGCCGGATTCTCCTGACCCTGACCCGCCACCTGCGGCCCCTTACCCGCATCTCCTCCTTCTCCTCAGTACACCCGCGGTCCGTCACGTCTCGAATTGAAGACGGAACAGAACAATAACGTGACGTGGGCCCTGGGAGTGCCTCGCGTTCTCCCATCAAGGCTGGCATAGCAATACATAATAGTGTATACACACGTGTATGTAGCAAGTAATTCCTTCTAAGTTTATTTACCCTCCACAGGTACTGCTCAGTGGCCATCTCCTTCCCCCAGCTCTCAGCTAGCCAAGCTCGAGCCTGCACGCTCAAGTGCCCAGGTGTGTCTCAGGGCTGCTGGGGACTTGAACCCAGGGTCAGCCATGTGGCTTCCAGCACTGCCGACGAGCACACCCAGGCTGGGCCCAGTATATCCTATTTTATTTCTTGAACAGTGTCTCTCCTCTGGCAGCACCTCTCCACCCATATACTCTCCGTCCTGCACCGAGGTGGACCTCTTTGGCACAGAGTACCCCCTTAAAACATTTGAAATAGGGGCTAGTGGGTGGAGGTGGTTAGGGTGCTGGATGCCCACATGGTCAGCCACAGTTCACGTTCCAGACCCCTGGCTTGAAAGTCAAGGTAGACGCTTGTGCACACATGCCCAGAATTCCGAGAATGGAGAAGGGATTGTGACATGGCCATCCTCCCTGGGGAGGGGGTGGTTTCTCACTTGCCTCTCTCTCTCTCTCTCTCTCTCAAGTATGGCAAAAACCCAAGTAGATATAAAGATCTAATGTACAATGTGGGAACGGAAGATAATACAATTGTATATATGAACACATTTGAAACGATTACTGACATTTAAAAGTGCAGAAAATGGTATCTGAAAATACAGACTCACAGTCTTTCTCTTGAGAAATCACAAGATCCTGGTTGCAGGGAGCACCTTAAAGTGGGTGGTCTTTGCGCTATCTCTGCAGTGTATGCAAAGCTCTAAAAAGACAGGATCTACTGCTGGGCTTTACAGATAGAAGAAACCCGAGCGTTAGCCAGAGAAGGCAGGAGAGGCTTGTTCAGAACACCAGGTGCTTCACCGCTGAAGCATGTGACATTGCCCCTCCATAAAAGAATGCCTCTGTCCTTTCTCAACCCACGGCTCCCCCTGGCGGCGTTGCAGAACAGACCGCGGAGAAACCGCTGGGAGAGTGGAATTCCCATTAATAACAAGCTCAGACTCTCAAGTCTGGGCCCCACCGTGGAAGTTATAGGGGTTATATAATCTGGGTCACAAGAATCGCAAAACAGTTGTAATTTAGCTTGTAACATGTCCCCTCAGGTAATTTACAAAGGTGGCATAGAAGCACTTGCAGTTTGCAAGGAGTTAGCAAACAGAGTCCCTACTGGGTCCCCAGTCTCTTCACCCTCAGGCAGGGGCATGTGGTGCCTGAATAGGGACCGGAGTACGGAAGATAATGCTAGCGGACTCTGAGACGGTCACCATGAGAGTTAAAGAAAAATATCGAGAGAGTGAGGAGGGGATGCACAGTTATTTGGGCATAGAACAGGGGAACCTCCCTGAGAGTGATCCATGTATATTTGTTCTTTTTACTTTTTATTTTTTGAGAGGTTTTTGCTATAGGGCGCGTGCGCTCACCAGAGAGGGACAGAGAGACAGAAAGCGAGAAATCACCCCCCGGGGGGATGGCCACTCTGCAATCCCTTCTCCTCCATTCTTCTCTCAGGATCTTGGGCACACACACATGCCCAACATGAGTTTAAACCACCAGGTCCAGGACTTGAACCAGAGTGGGCTACATGGGAGTTCAGCGACATAGCCATTACGCTAACTGCTGGTCCCCTATGTATATTTGAATGTAGTCCTGTATGGGAAAAGCATGAAAGTTAATAAACTTAGATGAAATTTAGAGGTTAAGAAATTTAGAAGTTAAACTCTTAGAAAGTTAAGAAATTTAGAAGTTATGGGGGGAGCAGGTGGTGTGGTGGTTAAGTGCTCTGGACTCCCCCGTGGCTGACCAAAGTTTGATTCCCAGACCTAGTGGCTTGCTTTCTTACTTTCTCTCTTGCTCTGTCCTTCTCTGGTCAAAATAAATAAATAAATAAATAGCTAAATAAAATAATTATTTTTATAGAAAAGAAATTTAGAAGTTATAAAAAGCTAAGTTATTAGAAGGCTAGGAGAGTAATTAGAGAGCTAAGAAAATGTATTGAACGACCAGCAGATGGCATAATGGTTATATTGCTGGACTCCCACTAGTCAACCGTGGTTCAAGTTCCAGACCTGGCGGCTTTGTTATTGAACTCACATCAGGTTCGCTCGCCAAAGCACTATAAAACCAAACCATAGACACGGTGTGACTAAGGAAAGCACAGCTTTATTGCAAAGCGCAAAGCGAGGAGTTCTCGCGCTCCCTGAGAGCAGGCAGCTCACGCTGGAAAGACCCCAGGGTTCCCCACAGGTGCTCTCAAGGCCAAATTCAGGGGCAGAGGGCCCAGGCGCAGGGTCAATCCAGTGATTGGATCAAGGGACGTGATCATCTCTTGCTTGGTGAGGCCTTAGATCATCAACTTTCTCTTCAGGTGTCTGGGGCCATTCAGGGGGTCTTTGACCCCAGCCAGCAGTTTCCAGCCCACAAGACATCTTGCATATTGAAATGAACACCTTATCTTTCCTTTAAGTGAGAGTTTTAGAGGTTAAATGGCCTCATTCATGGCCAATGTTGTTTTATTATCATAACCAAGGTCTGTAGTCTTCCTCCTTACTCCGGGTCATTACAATGTAAAGGCCTTGTGTTCTGAGAATCTTAGGAAACACACTTTACTTTTTGTTCAGCCCTTATTCATTTTTGGTTTGGGAAACCCTTACTTTTTTTTCCTATTTTTTTTTTTTTGAGAGGTTTTTGCTATAGGGCGCGTCCGCTTGCCAGACAGACAGAGACAGAGACAGAGAGACAGAAAGCGAGAAATCAACCCCACAGGGGGATGGCCACACCCTAATCCCTTCTCCTCCATTCTCCTCTCAGGATCTTGGGCATGCATGCATACGTGCCAGTCGTGAGTTTTAAGCCACCGGGTCCGGGATGCAAACCACGGTCGACTACGTGGGAGTCCAGCGACATAACCATTACGCTAACTGCTGGTCCCCCTTAAGTTTTTTTTTTTTTTAACAGAAGGGGAAACTGAGGACCTGTCCCTCTGAGGGTGTCCCAGCTCGGTTCCAGACCTCCCTATTCTTTGAAAAGCCTCTCAGTTTAGAGGGGAAATGGGCAATGGCTGATCCGGCTGTCTTTTGTTGAATGAGGACATAGTTTCAGAGGTCAGGATGGAGGAAATGGCATGCATTCATTTTAAAGTACTCAGGACGTTGTCTCTAGTTTTAAAATACGATTTTATCAGCGCCAGCTTTTGTTATGTATTTTTTTTTCTTTTTTGGAGAGGCTTTTGCTGTAGGGTGTGCAAAAAGACAGAGAGACAGAAAGTGAGAGATCACCCCCCGGGGGAATGGCCACACTGCAATCCCCTCTTCTCCATTCTCCTCCGGGATTCTGGCTCACATGCACACCTGCCTTGCGTGAGTTTAAGCCACCGGGTCCAGGATTCAAACCACGGTCGACTACATGGGAGTCTAGCGACATCGCCATCAGACCAACTGCTGGTCCCATAAAAAAACCTTTACTTTTTAAGAGTAGAATCAGACTTTTTAACTACAGCAGCTAAATAACTTAAGAGAGCATAAGACACACAGAATCTTTCTTTCTTTTTTTTTAATACTTAAGTTAAAAACTCTTTATTCTTAATTGTTAATATTATTTAAAAACAAAATAAAATATTATAGTTTTTATGTTTTTTTGAATAAATTTAGTTAATTTTAGTTGGTTTTTTATTAAGATTCTGCATTTTTTAAACTTTTTATATTTATTTATTTTACTTATAATTTTTAAAATTTACTTGTTTTAAAACAATTTTTTTTTGAGAGATTTTCACTATAGGGCGCGTGCGCTCGCCAGACAGACAGAGAGAGACATTAGAGACAGAAAGCGAGAAATCACCCCCCAGGGGGGATGGTCACGCCGCAATCCCTTCTCCTCCATTCTCCTCTCGGGATCTTGGGCACGCACGCACACGCGCCCAGCGTGAGTTTTAA